TCTCTGTTAGTGTAACAATGATGCAAGCTATAGATTATAGACTTCTCACCAAATGCAAATCATGCAATATAAATGTCCATGTACATTGTAGCGCACAAGTTGTTTTGATGCTACAAAATTGCATACTTATGTGTGTGTGTATCTATAAGATATCTAGCTATCTTTATATACAATGTTGCATTCAAGTGTTTGCTTCCATATTGATAAAGCTTGTTCAATGGATCACTGTTGACTCCTTGCAGATGTCCACGAACTCCTGGATATATAATATTATATTGAACCTTGTACCGTATACCCTTAGAGTTACCTGAGACATTTTCTGTTCATGAGGACTGTACTTAAGATTCCCGCTTCAAAGTCTTGTACAAAGTGATATAGAGGCAAAAGCTTTGCTATGAAACTTTCTTCCAAACACAACATCCAAATTTTGTTCATTTTCTCCTAAAGATACCTCTTTAAAACATCTGCATGTAGGTATCACAGTGATATAGGAACATGAAGGTCCATGTGAACCATTAACGTTACCTCAAAAGGCCCCAGCCATCAACTTGTTAAGTGCAGTACTGTCACTTTGTGTAAAGAGATACATGTATTTATGGAAGTTCCTAATCTTAATATTGTTTGGATGTTGTTTTCATCACAGAATATAGACTATGGATCCGAATTACAGTATTTAATTTGTGTTAAAATATTTTATGTCTTTTTTTTTTACAGTTTGGTTTTGACATTTTTGGACATATTTTAATGATGTATTCCTTCTTTGCATCGAAGATGTACATGGGCCATGATACTGCAATAAAAAATGTACTTTTAAGAATTAATGATGAAAGTTGTTCTTGTATTCTTTTCATAGTAATGCAGACCCTTAAACAACCAGGATGACACCTAGGCGAAGTACACAGGTGTTAAAAAGCAAACAATGGTCATGAATATTGCAACATCGTGAACGAAATTAGATATGAAAAATGAAAGAATTGGAGAACAGGGAAAATTAACTTGTTTATTTTGCAGCAACTGCATGATGGTATAATGGTAACATAAAGTAATACAATGTACCAACTGGTCATTGTTAAGAAATAAAACTTCCAAAACTCGTGTAGGTTATGCAAACTTTTAACTTTCAAACTCTACTGCTCTGGTTAACTAGTGATACAAACCCAGGAATTTTCGAACAAAATTTAACAATTGATGAGCTGTACCATATCATGCAAATTGCAAATATTTTGTATCCTCCAGTGTCCAACTATTACTTTATGGTGATATCGGGGGAAAGAATTCAACAGCATAACTATATAAACACAATTCTGGTAAAACGTTTTAAACGTTGACATTTTTTTTTTGTAATAAGGTCTCAAAGAAGAACGCCATTGCGTATCGTCCAGTGTCCAGTTGGGTACTTTTATACTTTATGGTGCGATCGGGAGAAATTTTAACAGCATAACTCTGTATTTAAACAATTCTGGTAAAACGTTTTAAATGTAAACATTTTTTTTTTTTTACAATCAGGTCTCAAAGAACAACAAGAGCGTTTTTGCGCAGTGCTCTAAAACACAACAGTTATCAAATACTGGCGACGAAATATCAACATTTCCTGAAAGAAATGCTGTTTCCGGGAAGAAACGTTGGTCCCTTCCGGGTCCCTTGGTCTTGTCTGGTCCGTCTCCCTTTTAGTAGCCATCACTGCCTGGCTCGTCATCTGGGAGGGAGAAGCGGACTCGCTTCTTGGCCTTAGAGACGGTAGCCAGCTTGTGTTCCTGTTTTTTGTGGGATGGTAGAATTACTATTAAGGACCAAACAAACACTTTTTGATGGGAGGTGAAACAACTTGAGTGCCTTTTTTGGTAGAACAAGGTATAGTCATGCGTGGAAATACAACACCGATGTGTATTTATCAAGTTTGTAGCGATGAAAGTCGCTGCATTTCTAATATTAGTGAGTACTAGTAGATGACATTGCCATACCTGGCGGCGTTCAGCGGCGAGGTTCTGGCGCGTCTCCAGTGCGTCAACTGTCGCCTTCTTCGCCACACGCGCTCTTCTCGCCTCCAGGCGCTTCTCAAGCTGTTTGGTTCTCTGGGATGCTCGAGTGGCGATGACGTCGGAATCAGAGGTTGCAGTGATCAGAAATGCGGTGCTGGTCATCCTGCTCGCCTCCTTCTTGGCCTTGATCTGAGCTGCTTTCTCGGCAAACTTCTTCGAAATCCTGGCCGTCTTCTCGTCTAACAGCTCCTGCAATGATCGTACAAAAAAAGGATGATCAACAATGTACCCGAAATAGCTTCCCTTACTTTTGATTCGATCCGATTCACCTAGTCCGTCATCCCCATACTAGTAATCTCTGATGTGCTCGTCTGATGTTCAAATGTGCCATGTCAACCCCTGCCATTGGCCAAGTCGAGAGTCGAACCATATCCTTACCTGTCTCCTAACTTCCGCGTCACTAAGCTGCTTCTTCAGATCACCACGAGACTCAGGGCAGCTTTTCTTCACCTTCTCCCGTCGCTCCTCTAGTCGCCTCT